TTTCACAAATTCATTTTGACCTGATGATGGGATCAGATAAAAAGTTAAGGGTTTACTAAACTGAATAAAATTCATCTTACGGGGACATAAATATAAAGACATGCAGCTTAGATTGACTGGTAACTCTAGGAGTGAGTGTGAGTGTGTGTGTGGCTGTCTGTCTCTACGTGTCAGTCCTGTGACAGACTGGTGACCTGTCCCACTTGCCCATTGTCAGCTGGGATTGGCTCCAGCCCCCTGTGACCCTATTCAGGATAAGCGGTATAGAATGATGGATGGGGACATAAATGTTTCCACCAAATATTTCACTCAAACTACAAATGTGGCACTAGATTACTCTGGTCTAAGAACCATAAACGTCTGTCCCAAATTTTGCTCCAATGCGCCTATAGAAATATTTTAGAGGATAATTTAAAAAGTGACCTGCTGGTGGCTCCAGAAGGAAGGTCATGAGATCACCAAAGTCATAAAGAGTCATCCTCATGCTCCAAATGTTCAGTTTTGTGGTACTCCATCTAATAGTTGTTAAGGTACTTCAGTCTGGACCACAGTGGTGGACACCTCTTTAAACATCTGACCGGTCTAAGTGAGTAGTGCCACAAAGGATATGCCGATTATGTCATCCAGGTCTGGGTAAAGAAGACTGACCCCTTTGGCAATATTTGAAGGACACTTTGAAATGGAACAAGCTTTGTTGGCCCTTTATGAAATATAGTATTCAGTCTTTGAGGGATGCAGGTACTGTTTTTCCTTGAGGCTACTACCGACCATTGGGGGGAGGGTGGAAACACATCAACCATTTGTACTTTTACCTATACTAACTTAGAATCGAAAATACAATCTTCAATATTTATTGTGCAACAATGAGTGATGCAGATTGCTGCATCCACTGTGACCAGTTATAAATGTGTTAAGTGACCATTAGGCTAATGACAGCAATAAAGCATTGACCTAGAGTTCAACTACTGAAACAGACTGGTGCCATGGGTTAGAGCTACTTTGAGTTATAAAAAAAAATACTCCAACATTTTGATTAGTTAATCACAAGAAGCATCTCCTGATGAACATACCTTGCAAAACATTCATTCATTCATTTTCTACTGCTTAATCCCTGAACAGGGTCACGGGGGGAAGCCAATCCCGGCCTTGCAAAACAGGGATGTGTCAAGTCTTGAATTGTTATTAGGGTTAGGGGTTATTTAGTGCAAAACGGTGGGTGGGTTAAAATGTTGTCTGAGAACATTTAAGGCCCTATATTTTCACGGACTGGTCTGGGTGTGTTGTCACACCTGACATCAATTAGATGTCTATACATACAGAATGTGTCATTAAAAAAACATAAGCCTAAAGTGAAACTCGGCTTCAAAATGTACATAACATGTAACAATAATAAATACTTTTTTTTAGGATACCAAAATCGAGCTCTTTGGCATCAACTCAACTCGCCGTGTTTGGAGGAGGAGGAATGCTGCCTATGACTCCAAAAACACTGTCCCCATCGTCAAATATGGAGGTGGAAACATTATGCTTTGGGGGTGTTTTTCTGCCAAGGGGACAGGACAATTGCACCGCATCAAAGGGAGGATGGATGGGGCCATGTACCATCAAATCTTGGGTGAGAACTCCCATAGAAAATCTGTGGAGGGAGCTGAAGGTTCCAGTTGCCAAACATCAGCCACGAAACATTAATGACTTGGAGAGGATCTGCAAAGAGGAGTGGGTCAAAATCCCCCCTGAGATGTGTGTAAACCTTGTGGCCAACTACAAGAAACCTCTGACCTCTGTGATTGCCAACAAAGGTTTTGCCACCAAGTACTAAAGCACATTTTGCAAAGGGATCAAATACTTATTTCATTCATGAAAATGCAAATTACTTTATAACTTTTTTTGTGATGCATTTTTCTGGATTTTTTTGTTATTGTTGTGTCTCTCACTGTTCACATAAACTTACCATTGAAATTGTAGACTGATCATTTCTTTGTTAGTGGGCAAACTTACAAAATCAGCTGGGGTTCAAATAATTTTTTCCGACTGTACATTTCACAACAATGCAATGAATAACGTTACTTCGTGAAACATGGATTAAACTGTGAAAGTCTGACTTAATGTTGGTTACTTTAATCCACCGTCCTCTCTCTTCTTTCTCTCTCTCCCTTTCGCCTCAGCCAGATATGGCTGTGTCTCCACTTTTGTATCTGTCAAATTAAAAGCCCTATGCAGAGTTGTGTAATTGCAGCCTTATATTTCATAAAATTCAGATGCAGAATGTCCTTACAGTGCTGAAATGCCCTCCCAACAAAAAAATATGTGCACACAACCACAGAAAAACATGTACATGCACACACACAGCCTCCTACCAAAGATGTCTTCTGGCAGGCCTGGCCAGGGGTGAGTCTTGCCAGACGAGCTTCATAATTGGCTTTCAACTTCTGATTCAAACGTGATGCTTGTTCAATGGGTGTCAGCTCCCTACAACAAACACAAACAAGTACTATGTTACTTAAGGGGTGTGCCAAAGGCAGACAAACCAATCTTTCGTGGCATGGTCCTTACTTTTTGCTTGTGTTCTGTGCCTCCACTGTTTGCAGTCTCTGGAACACCTCAGGAGGCAGAAAAGGGGAGAGCTCCCCGCCACCATCTGACAACACCCTTCGGTGGCCGGTCTTTGTCGGGCTGCTTGCTTTATGTCCTGTGTGGACAGGAGTACTAGATGGAGGGACTGTGACAGCAGAGGTGAAACACAGAGAAAAAAGTGCTAATTGGTTTCAAGGACAAAAACATGTGGCTCAGTTTAATTTGTGACCAAGTTAGCAGTGGTTGAACATTATGTTTATGAAAGGGGGGGGCGTAGTCACCTGTGTTTGGAGCAATGGCAGCTGGGAGGACAGCAGTCTCGTGGGGTTCTGACTGGCCAGGTGAACAGAAAGAGGAAGCAGCTCCAGAGGCAGAAAGACGAGGTGGATCAGTGTTCTTCCCTATAAATGACTTGGCTCGCTCCAGACACTGCTCAGCCAGCCTCAACATCCGCTCCACCTCCACTGCCACCATCTCCCTCTCATCTGAGGCCAACACAGAAAGAGCAGACAGAGAAATTTATAGGCAGTCTTTATTTAAGAATAGGAACACCTGGAGGATTCATCTAATGTAGGTCTACTGTCTCATCACATGGGATTTGGGATCTGATTCAATTTGGGGCTAATAATTAACTGATGTATGCAAGTTGATTAGATCACGTCTGGTGAGAATGATTAACTACACTGACAGGGGATGCTGCTTGTGTTCTGTTCTGTGTTCTGAAGATGGAGTTCACAGAAACTTCCCATCAGTCTGGGAGGATCTGCCAGGCCACTGTTCTCCTGGGAACAGTCAGAAATGATTTTATACTCCCACTCTGATCTGTGCCTCACCACAGTTTTATCACAGAGAGCTCTTGGACTGCATGTCTTGGTTTTGTCCTGACATGCAGCATGAACTGTGGGACCTTACAGTATATACACAGGTGTGTGCCTTTCTAAAATATGTCCAATCAACTTGCCACAGATGGACTCCAGTCAAATTCTAGACACGTCAAGGAGAAATAAAGCAAAAGAGATGCACCGGACTACAATCTGAGCCAGCAGAGTCTGACTACTTTTAAAAATCAAAAAATGAAATCTCTAATTTACAATACATCTGCAAACATTTCTAAAAGCACTTTTTCAAATTGACATTATGGGTTACTAAGAGCAGATTAATCATCAACATCGCAATTTTATCTGTTTAAAATTTAATCTACAACACTAAGTGTGGAAAATGTGCAGGGGTCTGAATACTTCCTGAAGCCACTGTATTTAAATAGCTTCACAACAGCACATTTTTCAGAAAGTATTTGATTTTAAGAGCCAGATTGAGAGCAATAATAAAATCAGTGTGTGTCACAAACAAGTCTTAGTTACTCCAAAACACTGTGAGCTCTTTGAGACCAATCATCTTAAACTAAAAAGACAGCAAGTTAACTAAGAAAAATACGGTAGTTCTTAAAATATCACCTAATAATGAGTTTCATCCAGCTGTTACATCATTAAATGAAGCCGCTCAAAACTATTACAGTGCTGTGAGCTTTTTCATGTTAGTCATAACAACAAGTTGAAAAACTTTCCTGGGAGTTTGTTTAACTTGCTGCTACAACTAAGCTATACTGGAAGATGGAAGAGACACACACAAATCGCCAGATTGGAGTTTAATTTTTCCAAAAGGTCACTGAAGGCCTACTGGATGACTATGTACAGTATGGAAACTTGGGTAAACATACTCAAGCAGTTTTTAGATAGGACGTGTGGGTGCTGCGCTCCACTATCAAACCCATTCATGTCTATGTGTTACGCGGTGCAAGAACGGATCTGTGCTGCGCCAAGCTGAGCGCAGTGTAAGGTCACACATGCCGTCCCTACTTCACCCACCCCCATGGTGAGTGCAGCGCCAACTGCGTCCTGTCTGAAAAAGGCTTTAAGAAGTAACAGAGAAAATGTTAATGAGGTTAGATATCCTATTGTAAGGCAGCTCAGTATATACTGTTAACATCATTTATGCCACACTACTCAGATCTTACTTTGTGACCCAGCTTCTTCCAAAAGTGCATGTGATATGTAGTTGATGGTCTGGAGGTATTCACAGTAGGCTTCCTGCAGAGAGACCACAAACATGTAGCAGCCTGTTACTGAAGATCAGGGCTGGGGAGTAGTGAACTACATGTAAATCAACCAGTAGCTTAACTACATTTCACAGATGCTTGCTGGTATGATTCCAGTACCTAAATTACTTTTTTGCCATTTTTGTATAAGAAAGGACTGAAACTACAAACAATGTTGGGCCATAAAAGGAATGATTTTTTTATTTTACCAGTGCATAACCCCCTGACAGATAAGAACTTTGAGAGACTGTGTCTTATAAACATAAATAACAGGTATCTTGCAAAACTATGCTTTCAAAGTAGCTTCCTCAACACTGATAAAGATTTTCAGCCTGTGGTTCAAGCTCTTGGAGCGTCTCCAATTTATCATTTGTGTTAAACAGTCTCAGCTTGGTGTGACAGCTGAGGTGGTTGCTCCTCCACACAGGAGAATGTGCAGACTCCGCACAGAAAGGCCTCGATTAACCAGTGGTTTCAAACCCAGACTCTTCTTGTTGTGAGGCCACAGTAATAGTCACTGCATCACTGTGCAGTCTTCACTCCCTTGATTTCAGTTTATTTTCCTCAGCATTTGTGACAGATGAAACAACTTAATGCTAAAATAAAGGTAAAATGTCAGAGGAATAAAGTAAATCATTAAAAAGCAAATCACGTTGAAATAGGGAACATTTACAAAATATATCAGCAGAGCAACAACTAAGAAATCTAGAGTCAAATGTCCAAATTGGTATCATAATAACTGACATAATTTATTCTAATACAACAATGCACCCCCTCTGTGTAAAATATTTAGTTATATGACTGAGATGTTTCATTATAGAAGTTCATAGATATCTTTATTTATTTTTTTATTAATTGTAAGTGATCTAACATAATTATTTTAGTCCACAACAAAAGCAGGCTAGGCTTTTAGTGTCCATCCTTAGGTTTTACTGTATTTAAACTGGTGCTTTTGGAAAAACAAGATAATTTTAGTATAAAGCCATATTAGTGATATTAGTGTGTATATATTGTTAACATCAATACCTGTGAATACCAGTGCTGTGTTTCTGGCTGCTGTGTATGTGTGGCTCTCAGCAAACTCTATGATGTCATCAGCGCTCTAGAGACAGCTCACCCCGATGCTGCATTTATCGCTGCAGGAGACTTTAACCAATGCAATCTATGGACTGTACTCCCCAAATATTATCAACATGTGAACATTCTCACTCGGGGCAAGAACACTCTGGATCATGTTTACAGTAACATACGTGGTGCATACAGGGCCGCACCCCGCGACCCCCTTGGACACTCGGACCACATTTCTTGGTTCCTGTATCCAGCGTACAGACAAAGACTGAAACAAACAAACCCTGTCACCAAACAAATTAAACTCTGGACCCCAGAGACTGAAGGCACCCTGCAGGACTGTTTTGCCCAGACAGACTAGGATGTGTTTAAAGCTGCAGCCACCTCAGAGGACTTTTCTGTCAGTGTACAGGACTATGCTGAGTATGTGACCGGGTACATTAGTACCTGTATTGACAACATTGTGCCCACCATATGAATCAGTAGGTTTCCCAACCAGAAGCCCTGGATAAACAGTCAGGTACGCCACATGCTGCGTGCTCACTCTCATGCATCGAGTCTGTTCTCTGCACCTCCATCACCATCTGGTTTGGCTCAGCAACCAAACAGGACAAGTACAGACTTCAGCAGACAGTCAGGACTGCAGAAAAGATCATTGGTGTGAGCCTGCCCTCCATGGAGGACCTGTACACTGCACGGGTCAAAAGGAGGGCGGAGAGGATCACTGCTGACCCCTCACACCCAGGACACAATCTGTATGAACTCCTCCCCTCTGGACGGCGCTACAGGTCACTGTGCACCAAGACAACCAGGCACAGGAACAGTTTCTTCCCCCTGGCTGTCACTCTGATGAATACTTAACCAATAACCATACGATTGGACAATAAACCTCAGTGCAATACCTGTGTATATACATTGTACAGATTGTACAGACTCGTACAGGTCTCTAGTACTCTGTTTTAAGTGCTCTATTTTTATCCCTAATTATCTCATTGCACTTTCTGTTCCTTGTAAATACTGCTTATTTTTGTTCTATTACACAGCCTTATGCTGGTTTACTGTTTGCACATTGAGAGCCGATGTACCAATTCCTCGTGTGTCCAACACACCTGTCCAATAAAGCAGATTCTGATTCTGATTCTGACTCAAATCAGGCGATGAGATGGAGTACAAAGCTGCAAAGTACAGACTGAGAAAAGCCATCACAGCGGCCAGGAGGCAGTACAGAGAGAAGCTGAATGGCTTCTATTCTACTGCTGACTCCGGACGGATGTGGCAAGGCCTGCAGCACATCACAGACTACGGGACCACCACCACCAGCATCATCAGCTCCACAGACAGCCTGCTGGTTGACCTTAACACCTTCTACACCCGCTTTGAGACCTCCAGCCACAGCACAGAGAGGAGGCACACACACACACTGAAACCACCCAACCCCCCACCTCCCCTCCACTAACTGTCTCACCAGGCCAGGTACTTTTTGAGAGAGTGGTGCAGTATACCGGACACCCTGGACCCCTTGCAGTATGCCTACCGGCCCAACAGGGCCACTTCAGATGCCATCGCGGCTGCCCTCCACTATTCCCTTTCTCACCTGGAAAATGGAGACTCCTACATTAGGATACTCTTCACTGACTACAGCTCCACCTACAGCTCCACCTTCAACACAGTTGTCCCCCACAAACTCACCCACAAACTGTCCACACCAGGTCTGCACCCCACCCTCTGTGACTGGCTCCTGGACTTTCTGACTGGCAGGCCCCAGACTGTCAGGATTGGCAATAGGACCTCAGCCAGCATTATTACAAACACTGGCACCCCACAGGGATGCGTCCTCAGTCCCATCCTCTACACCCTGTTCTCCCATGACTGTGTTGCCTCCTCACAGACAACTCCACAGTGATAGGACGTATCACTGGTGGGGACATCTGGTATGGCAGCACTACTGCCACGAACCGCAAGTGCCTGCAGAAAGTGGTAAAGACTGTGGAGAAGATCACCAGGACTCCACTGCCATCTCTGCAGAGCATTTACCACCGCAGGGTGCATAGGAAAGCTGCATTCATCCTCAAAGACTCCATTCACCCCCAGCATGGACTGTTACCACCTCTACCCTATGGCCAGAGGTTCAGAAGTGTGAAATGCAGGACCTCTAGACTGAAAAACTCTTTCCGACTGCCATCAGACTTCTAAACAGCTGATTCAGGAACTACCTCATGTAATTCCACCTGTACTGTTTACACACTCAGTTTGCACATGCATAATTGCACACTCACTGCTGAGTATTTGCACTATTGCTGACCATTTCCATAGCATACATCCTCTCTTCATTATATTGTGTTCTTGTTGTATTTTTATATTATGTTTCTTTTATTGTATGGATGCTGACTCAGCATCCATACTATGTTTTCCTGGTCTTTCTTTCTGTATTGTATGTATGCTGACTCAGCATCCATACTATGTTATCCAATTATTTATTATTATTATTGGATGGATGCGTATTCAGCATCCATACTATGTTATCCAATTATTGTACTATGTTATCCAATTATTTATTATTGTTATTATTATTATTATACCGTACGTTTTTTGCCGCTTAACTAGTTTCAGCTAGAAAAACCATTCAGGTATCAAAATGTTCCACTTTGTCAGGACATGTGGGCATCTATTCAGAATTTTCCTAAACTTCATACTTTTTGCCCCATTCAAATGAATGGGGAAATTCAACTTAAGCATACTTTCAGCTATTTCAGATATTAAAATGTTCAACTCCTCAAGGACATTCATGCGTCTATTCAGAACATTTGTAAACTTCATACTTTTGAAATATATAGCTTTATTTGTAGTCAGTAAAAAGGTAGTTAATAGTGAAAATGTTTAAAGAGCAGTGAAATGTATAGAATAAATATTAAAACGCTTTGTTGCTAAATTATTGTTTTCTTAGCCCGGACCTTCGGTATGTTTACGTTAGCTTTGTAAACAACAAACATACGTAACAGGTTAGCTAACCGGTAAACTAGCTGACACGTCCCGCCCCTCCTGCTAATTTACATCCCCACCCGCTGGCTCCTGGGGGGTAAAACTGGGTGTTATCGTTGCAGACGGGCTGTAAAAGTCAGTACCTTATGTCTGTTCTCTCCGTCCAGTTGTATCGCTACTGTGGCCATCTTCATGGCAGTCTGAAGAGGCTTCACACTGCCTTCAGCCGCAGCCATGACTAGGACCCTCTTTTTCTTCTTCCTCTTCTTCACCGTCTCATCTTCCTTCTTCTTCTTTGTGTTAACAACGGCAGACTGAAAACAAATTTCACAGATGTACTGCCTCCTTCTGTAAGGAAGTAGTCAAGCCTCTAATTCATCTGGAAACCAATAATGAGTGAATTACAAAAGATTTGGAATGAACAAAAATACAAGGTTCTCTCTTTATGAGCTAAAGTGACTAGTCACTAATACAATTCCGTGATCCAAAGTGTTTCTAAATACAGTGTTTCTCTTTGAAATGCCTTTTCAGAAGAGCTGACTGAATCACACCCTAATATTTTTGGATTGTTTTCTGCTTTTCTTCTTTGTTTCTGTCTCTAACTGCATTATTGGTGTAATACTGAAGTAAAAAGAAGAATCCTGTTTTCCAAGTGTCCATACTGTAGGACACCAGCGTCGGCTACAGTACGTGAACAGATCAGGCAGCTTTAGGCAAACAGGCACAGAATCAGAAGTTGCGTCATTCCACAGAGTTCAATGAACACTGTATGATGGTTGTATAGGAGGTGTGCTAAATAAGCTTTGGTGTTTTGTTCATGAGGAGACTGACTGATCCAGAAGCATGCTGTTATTGTACTATTTACTGCCACCAATTTATGGTATTTAGATGCAATAAGAGCACATAGGATAAACAACATTAAAAAGGTACATTTGACTGAACTTACTGTATTTCTGAGATATCCATGTTCTTAGCAATTACATGATGCATTTGAGAGTTACAGCAGTTGTTAAACAACATAAAGAACTAGACAACCTGTTGTAGGAAAATGGCAGGCTATATCAAATACTTAAAAACAGTTGTTGGTGTGAGATAGAAATGGGTGTGTCCTCTGAAAGACTAAACAACCAGGCCTTATGAACATCCATAAAAAAGACTAAAGCTCTCATCTGCAATTAGGTGAGAATAATCTAAGATGTCTCAGACTAACTGTCCGTTGTTGGAAATGTGTCTGTTTTGGATAAACCCCGATTGTGTTTCACTATAATAGAATCCAGAACAACTTTAATTCTTCTGGCAAATATTGAGGCCATGACTTTATAATCATTAATGAGCAAGCATATGGGTCACCAGTACACCTTGACACATACTGGGAGTGAGGGATCCATTCCTGATACTTTCCATATAAACTTTATACAAAACAGGAGTAATCTCAGTAAAAAACTGTGCCTGGACTCTGGTTGGATTTTAAATGATCAGTGGTGTAAGCCACATCCTCTCTGCTAATTGCTCTATCACACATGTTCATGGTCATGTTTTTCACTAAAGACACTCTGACACAGAAGTTGTCTGGTTTCACAAGCACACAAATAACCATATAAAAAACTGCATAGCAACAGCTAAGTGGATGATAAAGATGCTAATATAAATTTTCCATCACACCATGTAGAAATATTATATTCAGATGAAGACTGATGTTTGACTGTCTGGAGAACATACAAGTGGAAACTTTACAATCAACTGACTTCTTATGTTGTGCGACACAATACAATCCCAATGACAGACTATGTTACAATGGAGCAGGTGACTAGGGGACCCAATATGCAAACACTCAAAACTGAAGAGTATAACAAGTTTATTTGAGGCAAGATAAGTGGGGTGCAGAGGAGGCAGATGAAGGCGGAGGAGGTAACTGGAAACGGGAGTAAAGAGAGTGGAGAGAGATGTTCTTGCACAGAGATGAGAAAGTAGGCAGTAGCAGGTGAGTAGCTTTCTCTGGCATTGACTTGGAGTGGAGAAGGTGGAGGCATAAGCCAGACAACAGACCAGGAAATGGGGGAAGCCAGGATAAGGTAGGGGAAACATAAAACATATGATTGAATGTCGTCTAGAAGTCAAGTTAAGTCAATCAAGATTTTTATTTGCCATTTATGCATAAACAGACAGTCTAGGTATATAGGAATTCTTTTGCAGCTGTCCTTTGGAGTCAGATAAGGAGTCAAAAGCCAGAAAGAACACTTAGTCTTAAAATAAAAAGTTACATAAAGGCGACAAAGTATTAAAGCCGCAATACACAAAAACAGAGTAATAGTATTTCCCACAGTGAACTTCAAACTTCGCACTTAGTAATTCACATGGTGGAGTTGGATATGTCATTACGCTTGGTGAGATAGTGAGGGGTTATAACATACTAAAACACAGTTTATATTCAGGCCTGTTTCCATTGCTTGGTGGAGAATGTCCTGCTTACTCAGGTCCCACAAGAGAACACTGTTGATGAGATGCTCTTAGAAAAATACCTTGTGGAACATTTCTGTATTATTATTGCGCATGCCTAGTAAGGGGTTATTGCACATATATTCTCACATTTTCGTATTTGCCATCAGTCTTACTGCAGCAG